GTGCTGGTAAGAAGGGGAGGGCTCGGGGCCTCTCATCCAGGAACCTCAGTGCTCTCTGTACCTATTTGCGTGTTTTGTTGTCTCGGGAAAGTGAGAATTGTAGGTCAGCAGAGTGAGATAAAAACTGTTTCTTTCTTTCTGGTTTTTTTTTTTTTTTTTTTGTTTCCCCCCCTCAGTATGTTCTTTTTTGCTCATTTATTAAGGCTGTGTTTGTACCATTACAGCAATAGGTCTTGGCACTCTGAAGTGGAAAACCACCATATCCTCGGCAAAGATTTTTTTTGGCCATTTTAAGTTTATACTTTTAATTCAGTTTAATCAAGTGTAAGCAAACACATTTACACAGTCAGTGAACAGTATTATACAGAAGACTTGGAGAATAAAGAGAACGTAGCTCTAAGCTGTTCTGTTAAAGCAGCTTAACACGCAAAGCTTTATTAGCCTTTGCAAGGCAAGAGGGATATTGCATCCTACAGGATGCACCACCTACCATGGGGGTTTCCATGCAAATCTGGGCAGAGTTTTCCTGGCTTCCTTAAGTCTGGAGCCTGTTTTAATGAATCTCATGGCAGGTCTGAGGCTTTTGTTTTTAGAGCCATTCCAGCCTGCATACTAATATGTGCAGGCAGTGGTGGTTTTGTTTTGTTTGTTGAAGGGCAAGAATACTAGAGCTTTGACAGAAGAGGCAGGGGGTGGGTTCTGACCCATAAGCACTGCTGTGTCTCTCTGCTCCATGATGCCTGTCTGTAGTGTCTCAGAGCAGGATATTGCTCCTTTCTGCTAACAGGGATGTCAAATGACCAGTGTTTACCAAACATTTGACTGGTCTCCAGTTGCTGGTTAGTGTGGGAGAATCCCAATACATACATCAGTTGTTGTTGGTATGTAGAATGAACGAACAGCTGCAGAAGTATCTGTGCATTTTATTGCATTTTTCTTATTTTGTCGCTTCAGGAATACAGTGTTGTGTTAAACAGCATAGTATAGTGAGAGCTATACTCAGTTTTCCTTTACTGTTTCTCTGAAATGTTACCTCAATTGTCTTCTAAATAGGCGGGCACAATCAAAACAGCAGTTACGGGGACAAGTATACAGACTGGTAAGAAGACTTTATAATTAGGCATTAGAGATGATAGGACATCTGGATTTTCATTTTTAGAATTTCACCCTTAAATCCTGCCTTGCTTTCAGCTACAGTGAGTGGAAATGTCATAGTGAATACAGTTGCTGGAGTCCCTGCTGCTACCTTTCAGCCCATCAATAAACGTCTGGCTTCACCAGTTATACCTGGGACGTTGACTGTGAGTAGATCACATCACTAGTTGTGTCCCTGGATGGATCTTGGCTGCATGTTTTACCCTAGCTTTCCAAGTTATCAGAGACTCTGCTGCTTCTGAATTTTGTGTGTCATATGATTCTGTATCATACCTCTCTCCCCCCCTTACCAAAATATCAGAACGTGCTGGAATAGTTTATCAGAAGAAAGTTGTGAATGGATTCTACTGTTAAAAATAGTTTGCAGATGAGTGCTGTCATAGGCAGCATATTATGTCATTATCCTTTCCAGCCTGTAACTGTTCTGTGCTTCCTGAATTATGATCATTATCAGTATTTTAATGGTTTAAGACGAGGGAAGATACAGGAAAAAACTGAAAGGTAGTAAACTCAAATTTCTGTAATGCAGTTAAGGGTTTGGTGATCAACCTGTTTGGAAAAGATTTAAGCAGATGCTGATTGTGAGGCATACCCAGACAGATGGGTCAGAAAGGTTTGGACCTTCTCTGCTTTTGCAGCGCTTTTGCCTTTTTGACGTTTGCTTCTAAAATCGTGTAGCCCGTTTCCGGAAGGTTCTGTAGCGCTGTGCGAGGGCTGGGAACGGTGAGGCAGAAGGGCTGTGTTCCTTTTCAGACCTCGGGAGGCACGGCGGCCGCACAGGTGGTGCACACCCAGCAGCGAGCCGCTGCCGCGCCTGCCGCCTCCACGGAGCTGGTGACCATCGCCTCCACCCAGGGCGTCCGGGCTGTCACCTCCGTCACCGCCTCCGCCGTGGTCACCACCAACCTAACGCCCGTGCAGAGCCAGACGAGATCTTTGGTGACTCAGGTCACACCAGGTGAGGATGCTCTGGTTAGGGAGTTTTTCCAAGGCCCCCAGAACTTCTGTAGGTTGCTTGACCACCACAGCCCCACAATATTGAAAGTCTGGATTTGTTGGCAGCACCATTAAGAGTGCTGTGATTTTTAACGTGCTTTATTGTTGGAGCTTAGATTACGTTTTTCTTGTTATATTTTTCTCCAGTATTTCTGGATAATGTGTTGCAGGAGAGAGCTGCTTGGCCCCTAGGCTTTACAATTATTAATAATCTAGCAGGAAAAATATTAGAATTGACAGTCTCGGCTAAAAACCGTTGTGACAAAAAGAGCATATATTTTATTATTTACTTTGCCTTTTTATCGTGTTCTTGTGTTGTTATTTGTAGTTAGTCCGAAAACTGTGTGGCAGCAGAAAAATAGCCATTTAACATCTTGTCTTTTCAGGTGAAATCAGCAAATTAAACTGAATGTTGAAAATCTTTCTTCCGAGCATTTTGTTTTTCCTTTATTCACAGCTACACCGACAGTACAACTGTCCGGCAAAACAATCACCCCTGCTCACTTCCAGCTTCTGAGGCAGCAGCAGCAGCAGGCTGCTCAGGTGCAGGTCCCACAGATTCAGGCTCAGGCACAAGCCCAGTCTCCAGCTCAAATAAAAACCGTAGGGAAATTGTCACAGGTGAGGAAGTGCTTCTGGTGTGGCACATCACTGTCGTTGTTATCGTAAGCATCGTTAGCTGTGTGTGTTTTATCCTGTTTTCTTGGGCTAGGGTGAATTGCAGCTCTTTTTAAAAAACCTTTTTTTAAATCCTACTAAAATTTCCTGACAGCAGGAAGTCTGGTAGCCCTTTCAAATGGAACCACTGTCCTAGTAGGTCAGGATGTGGAGTACTTCCTGTGAGTTGAAATGACAGAGGAGATTGATTTTTGCAGGAGCAGCTGATCAAGTTGCAGAAGCAGAAGCTGCAGCTTCCCCAGCAGCAGGCAGCGCAGCAGACGCAGCAGGGGGCACAGCAGCAAACGGCACAAGTACAAGTGCAGCAGCAACAGCAGACTCAACAGCTCACTGCTGTTACAGCACCTCGTCCTGGCGCAGTGCTCACAGGCACTGCTGTGACAAACCTGCAAGTTGCTCGTCTTGTAAGTGGCCTTTCACTTTGCAAAAACAATCTTAAACACCTTCTTCTGTCTGCTGGTTTAGAGGAACTGCACACCAGTCATTCTCTCTCTCTCTCTCTCTCTCTCTCTCTTTCTCTCTCTCTCTCTCTCTCGCTCTCTCTCTCTCTCTCTCTCACACTCACACACACGCGCACACACACACACGTTGACCTGGGCAGTACAAAAGGTACAACGTGAACAAAAAATGGCTTTAAATTGTACTTACTGACACTGTCTCTAAAGTGTCTTACCATAAGGGAGCAATTATATCTAGGAACATCTACAACTATCACTTTATAATGACCTGTTTTATGCAGCAATTTTTTTTTTTTTGTGCCAGTACAATAATCTTCATTCCTTACTGCTTAGACTCGTGTTCCTGCTTCCCAGCTTCAAGCGCAAGGACAGATCCAGGCCCAAACTCCACAAGCAGCTCAGGTTGCTCTGGCAAAGCCTCCCGTGGTGTCTGTTCCAGCTGCTGTTGTGTCCTCTGCAGGAGTCACCACACTCCCCGTTACTGTCGCAGGCATTAGTGTTGCCATTGGGCAGCCACAGAAAGCAGCAGGTATGTCAACAGGCTTGCTAAATCATAATAAAATTTTAACTCCCACGTCTCTAAAGGTAAGATGTTTCAAATAATATCTTTTGTGGGACACTCGCACTTCTTAAAATCTAAAGTGGTAGAGGTTACATTCCAGTGTGCTTCTAAAATGAGGTAAGAGACTTGAGCTTATTCCAGTTAACCTGGAGGTTAGCATGATTCTTTAGCCAGATGTGGTTGGGTTTGTTTGTTCTTTTAAATTTTTGCATGAGAGTAGGCAAGCAGATGTAATTTTAAAAGTAAAAACATAGTCATTGCATTATTTTTTCTTAGATGCAAAATGGAAATAGGCAAACTTGTATGTCGTAACTGTCTCCTGTACTGTGGACAGATTTTTTTTCCTGTAGGAAGATAATTGTTAGGATACAAAGTTAGCTTACTTGTGCCCTTAGGTAATAGAATGTTTTTTTTTTCTCTACTGTCAAAATCATATGTCTTATTCCCATTAAAATCAGTGGGTTATTAGTGCTCGTAGTTATGCAGATGCATGAGTCTATAAAAAGCACAATCTGTGTTTGCAAGCTGTGATTACTGGGACAAAGCAATAAAACAGAGACTCTTACAGTTCTATAATTATTTGTTGTAATTTTCAGGAGGCCAGACGGTAGTTGCACAGCCACTGCATGTCCAGCAGCTTCTAAAACTCAAGCATCACCAAGCAGCACAGCAACAGAAGGCTATCCAGCCTCAGGTTGCACAGGGCCAGGCTACAGTGCAGCAAAAGGTACCTGTCGTCACTCTCCCGCTGGGTTACACGGCCCCTCTGTGGCTGTGAAGCTTCAGCTCTGAGTTATGAGGACACTCCTGGAGGCTCAGTCAGTATTTCTAGGGGTGCATCTGAAGTGTTTCTGGAGAGGACAGTTTCTCATGTGCCTTGTTAGGCGCTTAGTAACTTTTTCAGTAAGACTGTTGTGCCCCAAAACTGAGTCCTGTTGTTTTCTGGTTGAAGTAACAATGATTAAAGATTCTGTTCAGTCATTTCTAATATAACCAAACGTGGAACAATCCCAAAGATTTTAACTGTTTACAGTATAAACTGTACAAAATGCACTTTTTCCTGAAATGCCACCTTGCCATGTGTTTTCCTGTCCTTCAGCCAGCAGTGTGGTTTTTGGAAGTGCATTATTGTATAAAGCACGTGTGTAACAGAACCATTTAATTACATACTTCAAGTGTTTCAGAGTATTTGTGTAAGTGAATGAAAGCTTCCTCCTACTGCTCCTTTTGAAAAAAAATCCTCCTAGGATTAATAATAGCAATAATTAAATGTGATTATTCTTGTTAGCTACATACCTGTTCTTTAAAATACATTTATAGTTTGTATTCACTGATGCTTTTTTTCTCTTCTGCAGATAAATGCTCAACAGGTTACAGTCCAAACCCAACAGCAGACGTCACAGCAACAAAAAGTAACTTATACTACACAACCTGCCATTAAAACACAGTTCTTAACAACTCCAATTTCCCAAACCCAGAAACCAGGTGGAACCCAGCAAGTTCAGGCCCAGATTCAGGTACAGAATTACACCTTTAAACTCCAGAGTGACTGGAGAATTGTAAAGGTGACAGGTGACGTAGCATTTTAGCACCCACTCCTGTTAGTTCTAGTCATGCAATTGTTTAAATTGACTTTAAAATAAAATCCATTTGGGCTCAATATGTGGCCTCGTAGCAGGTCGGAGGAAAGGCAAAATGAGGGCTCAGTTTCTCTTTGGAAGAAATAGGTTGTCACTCCCTTTTATTAAGCAAGGGATTCTGTACTGCATTTACTAAGGAAAATTCAGTCAGAGTTCTTCCTGTTCTGTGGTGCTGGCTCTGGCAGCCCGGGGTGGCTGGCAGTTACCTGCTCCTCCACATAACTGGATCAGCCTAGCCAAGGGGAAGGAATTGAGTTAGGAATTTGAAGCCTTACTCTTTAAAAAGTGTATCTAGCCCATTAGAACTTCTGTGTTTTCTTCAAATTCATATCTAGCTAGGAGGAAATGAGTATGTTGCAGTTAAAATTGAAAATATGACTTTTCCTCTTCCCCTCCTAGCTAAGTTCTTCGACACACTGATCTAAAAAGTTTGTTTCTGCAAAAGTTCGGTATCATTGAGAATGCCAAGCTGCAGCTTACCATGAACAGGACTTTGGGAAGGTTTTCACTTGGCAGCAGGTTTGATAGGTATGGTGTGTTGCTGCTATCAGCAATTTTCTGTTTTGACCAAGTCTTTATTTCATGTTGCTACAGGTTGCAAAGCTTCCGCAAGTGGTCCAGCAACAGGCTACTGTTGCCAACATTCAACAGATGGTTTCAGTGTCCCAACAGGTGGGTTTTGCAGGTGTCGAATACAGGACGAGAACTGTAATCCTACTGAAAGCTTTTTTTGTGTGTTTTTCACTTTATACATGGCATAGGCAGTATTTTTGAAGGATATAGCAAATTCCCTTCTCTAAAATTAAATGGTGTGGATACTGGGTCAGCTGCTGTATATTCTGTCATCTAAAACTTTGGTAGATGGAATGGTGTTTGTTTACCACTGTAGAAAAGCTGCAAAACAGATTTTGAAAAATATGTCTAGATGTGAAATAGCTTTTAGAAATAGCTTCTTGTGATGTATAGTCAAGATAGCAACCAGCTGAAGTAATGAGTGCCATCTGAGTTTGTCTTATCAAATTTGGGACAAATTGTTTTGTTTTACTTGATGAAGCTGTGCCAAGTGCCTTGTAGAAGTTAGAATGGTGTGGTAGCTGTTCTAAATGTATGATCACAGATGGGACTAGGGCAAGAGAAGCTCCAAGAGTCTGGTCTGCCTTCCCCTAACTACCAGGCAGTTTATTTACACTGTGTATCATTCAGACCATTAGCAAAAGGCATAACTTAATGCTGTTGACTGGCAGGAATTATTTAACTTTGGACAGTGGGTGAAGTTACTGCCTTCAGTGCACAAAAATCTGACCCATTGGCTCTTCATCTGTCACAGTCTATAGTGCAGTGCTATAGTGCAGTAGGATGATGTTAAATGATGATAAAGTGATGTAAGCTGACTGATAACCCCCTCAGATGTAAATGCTTCAAGGGGAAGGTAGACAGCAGGGAGTAGAAACCTCATCAGTCAACACAAGTTGTGGTCCTCTGTCATCAGTAAGAGCTCCTGGAGAGTTTTTCAAGGGACATGAAAAGCTAGAAATTCAGAAGTCATAGGTGTTGTCAAAACTCTGGAGCTGTCAAAGTCCATGGTGAAACGACAGATAAACAGCTCCCCTCCCACACATGCCAGTGGCAGCAGAGGCAGTAGGACTGGGCTATGTTAAGTATTTTAAAACTCTGGTTGTGAAGGGTGTGGCATTCTTTTTACCTGTGTTTTTAGTGTTTCCCAGTGGATTCCTCTTCAATCAGTCTAGAGGCAACTTTCCACTGGAGAAGCCCTTCCAGATTCATTTGGCTTCTGCCTCTGACAGAGGCAACTGAAGCTGCTCAGTTTTCACTACCTTGTCCTCTGAAAAAGGGGACATTGAATTTTTTTTTCCCTTGTTCTGGGTAGAGCTATGAAAATAAGATTTCTGGATGGAGTTCAGACCATTCTACCCTAAATTGGCAATAGAGACTGGCAGCTGTAGTCTGAGACTGGTAGGAAGCCTCCGTGGCTGTATTTATTGTCACAATACAGGTGCAGAGTGGGCATTTTCCTTTCTTTCATCCTCCATCTATTCTGTTTTTTTTTTTTTTTTTCCCCTGTTTCTTCCCTTTTGTACTACAGGAATTTTCCTGTTCGTCTGAAGGGATTTTTTTTTTTACCTTCCATCTGTCTTCTGTAAAGGGTCTGGGGGAATATCCTTTGATTTGCACTACAGAAATCTGATTTACAGGCACCTTCGTCTTAGTTCTGATTTATAAGGCTCTAGAAAATGTGACAGAATGTTGTTTCTCTGTGAAACCACAGAGCCTGTGCTCCCAGAATCCCTCCCAGCCTTCCTACTTTGCCCAAGTTGCTTGTCAGTCAAGAGAGCAAATGCCTATATAGAAAAAGATGCCTTCTGTAAAGCAGTGTAAAAAATGCTTCAGTTTCTTGCCAAACTGTTCTTTTTTTGTAACTGACTTCTCATCTGGATGTCTAGGTACAAGCTCAACCCCAAACTGTGACACTTTCTCAGACGACAGCAGGTCAACAGCAGGTTCAGGTGATACCTGCAACAACTGCCACTGCTCAGGTCGTCCAGCAGAAGCTGATACAGCAGCAAGTCGTGACCACAGCATCTCCCCAGATTCAGGCTCCAGGTGTACAGAACCCAGCCCAGACACCAGCAACGCCCGAAGCCCAGAATCAGCAAGCAAAAGTGCAGATGAGGACACCTACTGTCAGGTTAAAGGCACCTACTAAACCAAGCTGAACTAGGGATTAGGACCCAGTGGCAGGGAAACACGGCATTTCTCGTTTGCTGTGCTAGGTGAGGAGCTCCTTCAAACACCCAAAGGAAGACAAACCACCTCTCTGTTTTTTAGCAGAAGGTTTTTTGCTGGTGAACATTTCAAGATGGAAACTCTCACATAACTTCAGCATATTAGCAGCTGTCTAGCACTCAAGATCTCTACAAGAGCCAGTGTTCTCTGCGCTCAAACAGCAAACATCACTTACCTTGAAACTGTGCCCAGCCTCACAAAAGTGGCGTGGTAATACACCACAAGTGTCAGTAAAATGCACAGGCTGCACGTGGGGACCTGTGGTTCTTTGCTGTAATTTGGATGTTCTCTCACTGTCCACAGTGGAGCCATTCAGAGAACCAGGCACGGCTCATACAGCAAAGTCTTTCCCATCTGTGTAGAAGCTGCGTGTTGTTCTCCCTTGAGGTAAATACCTCTGCAAGAGCTGACATATTTAAAGTGTTCCCTGCAAAGTTCAGCCAATAAATGTGAAAACCTGTAAGTATATGTAATTAAAAAAGAAAAAAAGTTTCATTCTCCATTTTTGTAAGTCTTTTAAAATGTTTGTTAGTAGTTTTGTGTACAGTTTACTGAATCACCCAACCTGTGCATTCATTCTCATATTTCACTTTAAGGTAATGGATATTTTAGGCATGAACTGACTAAATACTGTGTTGATAGTAGCTGTGTATTAAAGTGTAGCCCTTTTGGATTTTTGTTGGGTTTTTTTGTTTTGTTTTGTTTGTAAAAGAATTGTTTGGTGGGTACAGCTAAACAAATGGTCCATAGCTGTTTCTCATGGGACTTCCATCAAGGAAAATCCCCAACTGATAAAAATTAATCTCTTGGTTTCATTCTGCTCTTGCAACATGTTTAAATGTTCAGTACTTTCTACTCAGCTTTCAGCTGGGGGGGGTGGGGGGCTGGGGGAAGGGGAG